TTGCATGCTTTTGTATATTATTTAAAAAATCCAAACCAAACAAAACAAAACAAACCACCCAAACAACAAAACCCCAAAAATAAACCAAACAGAAACTTTAACTTTTAGAAGGCTAAAAGTACATGTTTTAAGACCTGACTGAGCAAACTGGACCATCAATAGACAGAAATTTTGATTTCCCCTATTTTCAACTGAACTAAAAAAATCTTGAATAATTTGTGAACCTTTGTGTGTATATTTTAGTGTTTTCAGTAGGAATGGCTTTCCAGGCATGACCACCTTTTCCTGACTTGTAGCAATCCTCCAATAATGGGAACTCAGGACACTGTAGACCCTCTCACTAGGGAAAAGATAAATAACTGGCTACAAAAAATATGATAATTTCTATTGCCTAAATCTAAGATGCTTTTAAAAATGAACAACAGCATCTGCAGTTTGATGAGAACAGCAACAAGGAAAATAAAGCAATAAAACTCCACTAATCAATCCAGTCATCATTTTTATTCTGGCATCTTACACTGCCACTCAACATTACTGCATCTGGTAAAGCCTGAAGCATGGCCTTACAGATTGTTTCAGACCTCAGGTATGCAACTAGCACAGATTCCCACCAAAAAACTCCTTGTACGTAATTAAAAAGTTACTTGACCAGATGCTCTAAACAAGGTATAATGGTTTTGTCAGCTTCATTTTTTTATGGCTGTCATATGCTGTCGCCTGAAGGAGTGTCAAGTTGATCTTGAGCGTATGGATGGGAAGAGGAGGTGAAGGTTTGTGCTAGGCTGAAAAAATGAACACCTCAAACAATTAACTGTTGCGCAGGTGTGGGTGCAAACATGCTTACATTATTGTGCAGTGTGCCTCTTCATCCCAAATTAAGAATATCCAGAACATTCAACAGTCTCACCAGCGGCTGAAAAAGCAAAATCAAAACCATGTAGGCCAGCTGGAACCCAGTTACATGATGACTTTAATGGGAAAAGGTTCCTTCCAGTACCTTAGCCATATAGCCACTTCTGCTTACTATTTAATCTGAAATGCTCTTACTCCCTCAGAATAAAAAAAAAAATAGTGGCCTTTAGTACAGAGTGATCTCATTATGCTTAATAGCTCCCAATGCATTTTTATTCCAATGATTTGTCCAAACACTTTTGAATCCTTATAAAATTTTACCACCCACTGTGTCCTATGGTAGGAGTTCCACAATTAATAGTGCTTAACTTCTCAATTCCAGCCTGCATTTTGCTGCCTGTGTTTTATTTGTTTATTCTTGTGGCGACATCGTCCTCAGACAGAATACCTCCTCTTCCTTACTGATGTTTACATGAATCCTAACTACCTCAATAAACTAATTTTTATGGCTGAATCCTGAAATTATTCCCACAATGCTCAAATCCGTGCTGAAGAGAGATAACCAAGATAGTTTAATATTCTAATATTCTACTTGAGCAACAAAAGTAGCACAGCAGCATACCTTGGCTCAGGAGGATAAATTAACCAAAATGAATGTCCTGGTTTGGCTGGGCTAGAGTTAACTTTTCTTGAGCTGAGAGAGGGCACAGCTGGAGTTCTGGGCCCAGACTGGCCATTGGAGTATTCTGTATCATGTGATGTTATGCATAATATATAAAGGAGGTGGGTTCTCTCTCACTTCCAGGTTTGTTATGGCAGGATCTTTGTTCTTTTGGGATCGCTGGCTGGAAGTGGGCTGGCTGTCAGTCAGTGGGTGGCGAGCAGCTGCATTGTGCATTACCTGTTTGTACTTTCTATATTGTTATTGTTTTGTTTTATTAACATCACTAAACTGTTTTTTATCTCAACATACAAGTCTCCATTTGTTCCTCCAGTTCTCCCTCCTTTCCTCGGGCCGGGGTGGAAGATAAGCGACCAGCTGCATGGTGTTCAGCTGCCAGCCGTGTTCAAACCATGACAACGAAGAACCACACTGGCAGAATATTTTTATGGAGCAGTGTGTAGAACTTTAAAACCATATGAGGAAAATGTGATCATATAGAGAAAAATCTATCAAAGATTGTGACACTGGGATCAAGTCACAGCATTGATTCCTTCTTCACATTCACAGGGAAACGCATATGCATACCATGTATTGGCACTGATGCCAATGTTGCAGCACCTCTGTAATAAGGAATCCTGCTTGCCACATGTGGTTGATCAAACCTACCTGGTATATAGCGTGGGAAAGAGCTGCTGCGTTGCACAGAAGCCCTGCATTATGTCACTGGGCTCAACTTTTCACATAAAGAGTGTGCTAAGTGCATGTCTACATAAGGATGGCAACAACAGACACACACCTACCATGCGCCCTAATATATGCCAGATGATTCATCTCATCATGTCACCTGAAGCACATACAAAACTTGCACAGAGAGTAAAGAGCTTTCAAATTATTTCAATACTTTCTAATTCCTATAAAAGACTCGAGAGCTTCAGGAACAATTCTTGAACAAGATTTTCCACAGGAAGGGGTAGGTAGGTTTTAGTAACCACTGTTAGCACACTGAGATGGTCTTTTGTTTATAAGCCACTGTTTTCTCCTTATTCACCCTGGCAACAAGACCGGTATGCCCACTGAAGGAGTATCAACTGTCCCCAGAGCAACAGTTGGGTTAGGGTGAGAATTAGTTGGCACTAGAGGAAAATACCATAGAAATTATTTGCGACTAGTTTCACATTTCTGAAATATCAGGGTAAATTTATATAAAAAGTACAAAATTTCAAATATTAACCTTGTTCATGTGGGTGTAGAGATGCAGGTAGTATTCTCTGAAACTTGTGCTTTTTTGTGCTTGCCTACAGTGGAAACTGAAAGGGTTGCATAGGGAAGCGGACCTGTGTTGTGAAATCTACAATCATTTTTATTTCATTCAAGGACATACATCTTGGAATATGTAATCAGCTTGTCCCCTCAGAAAGTTGTCATAGCAGGCAGTAATAAATCATTTGGACATTCACTCAGTCATTCACTTCAGAAGTCCCACTGAGTGTCTTGTATCTTGAGACTGCTACGAATATATGCAACACTGAAAATACAACTGAGTTATGAAACAAACAAATCACACAGGAGATGTCCTACTATTATGATAATAATAGTGCTAAAACTGTTCAAGGAAGATAACACAATTCAGTATGAACCTTAAGAAATAAACCATTGTTATCAACATAACCAAAGAGTTTGACAAAACTATAAAACATTATTTTAATATTCCTCCATGGGTTTTTCCATCTGGCAAGAAATTACAAAAAACACATATAGAAACTGACACTTTCAGCTTCTGCTTGCTCCTATGTATTCTCTGTCACCATAGGTGGTAGTACATGTATGATGGTAATGCATGTATATTTTCAAAGGCAGAAGGGCTCTGAACTAATAGATCTAAATAAGGAGGAACCTCTGCAAATCAGAATGTATTTGAAGCTTTCCCACAGAGTGGGGCCTTCTGAGGTTCCCACTGATATCCTCTCTCTTAAATAAAAAACACAGAGCGTAACTTACTGGCATTCAGCGACTGTCTAGCTATTAAGGAATGCAAGGTTTGAAGAGACTTCACTGCTTATTAGAGTTCACCTTCTTTGGATATTGCTAGCACAGGACTTATCAAATTTATGTGGTAGGTTGAATTAGTATCTCTGACTGGAATTTAATTTTTAAGATAACATACTCGTTTTCCAGTACCACTACAAATCAACAACAGATTGCCACAAGGTAAGAGTAGCTTTATGCAGTTACTAAAGATAGTTGAGGTGCATATAGTTCAGTGACAAGTGTTCATGAGCAAGGAAAGCTCATTCGAAAGCTATCTGCCTCTTGTTCAGTTGAGTGTGCATATATTCCACACACCTGAATTAAACACATCACTGTGTATTTTTGCCCAGGCTCACTTATATACATAGATCATAAAAACTGGCAATGTAGTGATAATGTTTTTGGGGAAAAGGAGATATTTACACTGGCAGATTTTTTTTCAAACATTTTCCTAGAGAAAAATGAGAATAAACCATGGATCAACTGAAATTCAAATCTGTTTTCTGATTGAGGATCACTGTTTGTACACTGGAAATCAATACCCTACTATCACAACAGATTATCTGTTATGAGGACATTAAATAGTGTTATTCTTCTATCACCTTTTTATGATGGAGAAAATGCTATTTTCTAAATAGACAAAACAATACATTTCCCATTCACTTTTGGAGAACACAGATCCTGAGTCTTGGAGTTTGTCGAAAGAAAAATCTTTAGTGCAGACTCTTCGAAAAATGTTTGTAAAACATTTGCATTGTGTGTCTTTGGATTACAAAAATGTACAGGTGTACCCATGATCAGACAGCTTTCAAGCTTTTTAAAGTAAATCAGCATGAAGTTAACTTTTCCTCAAAGTAATATTGGACCTCAGGATTAACTTGCCTGACTTCTTCATTCAGTTCAACAATGTATTTGTTTTGGCAGTTAAGTAGGTTTTAAAGATACCACCAACACTACATACAGTACAACATTGTGACTACTGTACAAGCTGAGGAATAAAAGGAAGGTGAGATTTACAGTGGTTACGCCATTTAATTTTATTATGGAACAGAGAGGTATTACCATGCTACTTGCTATAAACTCAGTTGTTCAGAGATTGCTGGGCATATCCCCAAGCTCTGCACCTCCACAAGAAAACTGCAATTTCTGTTCTCATTTGCATTTCACATGATTATACAGATTAACAGTGCACAGACTGGTATGAATATCTGCTCCTGCTGAAAGTGTGACTATTAAATAAAAAGACTGCTTCTGGCAAATGTAATGGAGTAAATCTAGAGAAGTCCATCGACCAGGAGTGCTAGAGAGGAAGATAAAAATTCCCTCAATATTTAAGCAAACCTAAACTTCCTATACCTGTTGTGAAATAGTTGAGCAACCTGACAGAAATCAGAATTAAACTCATGTCTCTGCATATTAGTCATATACAACAATAAGGCATCAAATCAGTACTTACAGCTAGAGAATATCAGAGGACATGAGTGTTCATCCATTGGGAAATTGTGCAGCTGCAGCTGGCACTCAGCATTGATGGTAAGCCTACGGAGAAACCAAGCATCTATTACTATGCATCAGCATAATAAACAGCCAGAGGAGGAGCCAGGGTAACCTGAGGTTCATACAAGAGCACTTTGACGTTTATAAGTAAGGCCCAAAAGGAAAGGACTATATTTGCAGATTGTTCAGTGGGCTTTTAGGCCTGATCCAAACCAATAATAATTATCTAAACCCACAAATCATTTCAGACACATCATTAAGAGTTTCTTGACCCGAAGAAATCTGTTCATGTTTTACTCTACACAATTCATCATTAAAGGATATGGGACGGAAACAACTATTCTTTACAAAAATAACAGAAAACATGGCTGATGTGGTGGCATGTAGTTCCACAAAACTAAAATCTCATAAAGAAACTGTGAGAGACTGAAATGCTATATGACTGTCTCAAAGCTTGCTTGTGTCTGTGCAAACCTTCAAGAGAAGCTGACATAGAAAGATGACCTGAGTGGGTGAAAAGTACTCCAACCATCTCTCACAAACTAAAAATTCTCATTCAAACAATCCACTGGGTCAAGCATTACCTCTCTCCTAGCTGTTTTGACAATTTTTTCAGTCCATTCAACAAACACTTTCTTTAGTGTTAGGTATGTAAGACTAACTACTATTAGGTACATGTTTAACTTGCCCTGAAATACTGAAACAGAAAAAAATAAAACAGCAACCCAACAAAGATGGTATTGGAGTTGAAATCCTAATCACTGAAGTCTTTAGCTAAAGGCTACTAAAATAAATGAGAGCTCTTCACAGTTAAGCCAGCCTAAGAAGGGAAGGGCATTAAAAATATCAGTAGCCTTTCCAGATGTTTAATTATTTTCTTATTGTTTACCAAAGACTTTATACCAGACCCAACTGCAATTTCAAGTACGATCAGAGTATGCTGTTGCACCAAGAAGGCTGAATACAATCTTTGAAGAAAATGTAGCATGAAAGGAAAGTTTCTGAAACAGTTTGCCATGTAGAATATGGCTTATGGCAAAATTCTCTTCTGAGCAATTCGTCTCTTCCATAAGTAAACATATATTTTGATTTCCACAGGGTTTTTTTATGCAAATATATACAGTATTTCTAACACCATACAACTGATGGTATCACAAAGATTATCACAAAAATCTAAAAGCTTTTCTTCCAGCAATGCGCCCTTGTGATGAGATGTGACAGACTATCTTTCAGCATAAGTTACTTTAAGAATCAAGTATTGACATTGACATGAATCTAGAAATACTTTATCCAGCCCTTCATCTAACTCTGATAAGAAAGTTTTCTGACAGGTTTTATGGGACTACATGCTCCTGATTTTATTACAAGCACTGAAAAGCCCAACTTCCACAATTTAGATAGACACATTTCCAATTCTCAATATTTTTTTTTTTAGAAAAACAAGAATTTGTTTTTTAAACTTAGCAGTACATATGCCTGAATATTTCAGTATTTGTCAAGCATGGTGGGATACGCATAGGGAAGAAAACAGCAGAGGAGAACAAAGATACTGCTGAAAATTACTACTACTATGCTGGAAGCAGGAGGAGCTTTCAGCCCTGCACCTTACCGAGTGCTCACCTGAGAGTGTACAAGATCTTGCCGTCATTCCATATGCGAAGGAGCTGGTTGGGGGTGGTGATCCAGTGAGCCTCTGCTGTCTTTGAGTTACGAAATATTGTGTCTGGGATCCAGATCAAGCCAACCATGTTGCTGTTCAGAGTCAGTATTTTCATGGTGCTGTTGAAGCGAAGACGGCTGTCTGTCCACGTCTGGGCAAAAAATATATCAATTTGATATTCCTGTAATGAAAGCACGATATGCAAATTGAAATCAGTTCCACACTTTCCACTACTCTTTGGTGTTGGATAAGGTCTGTCTGGGTATAGAGCAGCAGGATACGTTCAGGCCGATTTGCAGAGACTTCTTTGTCTTAGGGTAAACTGATAAAAGAAGCATGAAAGATGAACAGGAGCAACACACGTGAGCTGGTGAATAGTAAATTCCCCTGATTATGACAATGGCTTCTGGGGAGAGAATTCAGTGAATACACTGAATTCACTGGGTAAATTCAGTGAATTAATTGTTCTGTTTGTTACTAATTGTTCAGTCCCTCTTTTTCAGGCCACATTACAAGAGAATTGAAAAGGCATGTTCGTGCTTCTTTACAGGCACTTCATCTACCCAAATGCTAAGACCTGAGTGCTCACTATATTACTGCCCTGAATAGGCTAATAATTTACATGAATCTCACTTTTCTTTCACTCCTTGTTTACTGCTGTGTTTCTGTATATATATGCTATCACATATATATATATATATATGCCTGTAGAAATTAAAATACACGTGAACAAACAGACAAAATTCTATAGGAGGACGTACAAACATAATGACTTATGCATTCAACACCCCATGAAGCAAATCGTGTTAAAACTAGTATTTGAATTGTGAATTCTAGCCACCAGAGGCTGAGAAAGGCCATTTATGATTTGCTTATGTTCCTCTTTCTCTTTCCCAACGGCTTTACCTGTGAACCCTGTGGAAACAGCTATCTGACCATGTCACGAAGACCCTCTCAGTATCACAAGGCTGGCCACATCCATGACAGGGGTGGCATTTGCTGATGTGATGCAACATGTATGCTCTACAATGCATCCTAATACAGGGACTGGGGATAATCCAGAGGAAAATATCCCTTCAGGTTCCCTGGTAGAGGCATTCTTGGTATATCTGTGCAAAGGAGAATTAAGGCTGTGTGGAAAGTCTGGTATGTCTTTGCTTTGACCGCTCTGAACTTGATTTTATTGTATTTTTGTTTATCTATTCCTAAATTTTAAAAGGAAAGGTGTAAAAATAAATATCATTATGCAAACAGTATTGTCTGTTTTGTTGTTTTTTTTTATTTATAGACAGTTAAAAGAGCCTGTAGTCTGTACTGAGGACAATGTTTTTGTTAAGAGCCCTCTGGTTCTCCTGTGCTATTACATTTCTGGCAGGCCATCCTTCCAAAATTGATGTTATAACACCAGAAAACCTAATTCACTGACACTGTAATCCTAGTCCAAAACACACTCAGGTCCTCTCATCTAGATGGCAAATGATCAATAGGTGCATAATTGATGCTAGCATGTATCCAAATGCTAGGTAATAGATCACCTTAGAAATTAAAGCCTGGCCACTGAAGGTATTAAGGACCATTTTTCCTCATAGCCTATCTCACTACCATTTTTCACTGCATTATCAGCTTTATTTTCTAAGGGAAGCTGACAGATTTCAATCTGAAGGGACTTTTCTTTCATCTCAATGAGCACAAAGTTGCGCGTCTCCACACACTTAAAGGATGCAATGTAATGTACACAGCATACCCTTATTATGCAAAAAGGACACCTTTATTCACCACGTTTAAGATGGCAGAGACCTGATCTTCATCTTTTACAATCGAGTCTGTATCATTTTAGTCCTTGGAAGTCCAGTGACAAGAGTTTGGCACACTCAGCTTCTATAGAGAGGAATATGCCAGACATGTCTATGGGTTTCTCCAAATGCTGAGTGAGTAGATTTGCTTGTTTTAGCTCACACGTGAAAATCAGTATTTTTAGAATCAGACCATTTGTATACAGCTGGCTAATGACAGTGCTGTCTTTTCACAGGAGAAAGTTTTTGCATTATATTAATATTTGAGGTTATTTTATAAGAATGCTTTATTTTGACTACATTTAGGAGCAGCCATAATTCCCTCCTAATATATTATACATATTTAATGATATTTAGGTTTTAGGATATTTAGGATTTCTACCCCACCAAAGGAAAGAAAGACCTTGAACTCCATGATGCAGTGTCCTGAGAAGGTACTGCAGCTAAATCTGAGCAAAGCAGGCCCCAGAAGCAGTATGGGTGTATTCTTGTGGTTTCCATCCAGATAAACTATTCTGGCTGAGAAATAGATTACATTATCCTAGAAGCAGGGCCATGTTAACACCACTGTCCCATTTTGCATCTTCTTTATTTATACTAGAACTAGAACATACCAGCAGTAATTATTCAAAATATCTCTGCAATGGCTCACTGTAACTCTATTCACCTTAATAAAAACATCTCAACTCAAATTAAATGGTTCACAGACTTTCTGAGTTATTTAATTCTTAAAAAAGATTTCTTCTTTTTGTAAACTGTATGAAAAGCAAAGCAACATTAAAAAAAAAAAAAAGACAAAGTTGTTTGAAATTAGTTGCATTGACTTTTTCAACACTTTACCCCTATTTTTTAAAATTTAATCTCTTTACAATGTTGTCAGAATATACAAACTAGAAAACAAAATTTTCCCAGTAAAAATAAATACATATTTCCATTTAATATCTGAATTGCATGTTCATCCTTTTTATTCTCTGCATTAATCCTTTTTAGAAGTGAATGTTAGATCAGTACATCCTTTACATTAATCTTTGGAATTGCTTCAGTCTTCAACCAAGCAGATAATGGGGTATGATATTCATATATTTGCTGTACTAGGAAGGGACAGAGGTCACTTTTTAAACTGGCACTCAATTTTTCACTTTTAATGGCACTAAGTCTGTGCACACTTCAGGAAAATAACTTTTATCTGCACTGACAACAGATACTCAATTCCCAGTGAAGTCAATAGCTTCCATATACTGCTTTGCACAAAGCTGATACAGTGATCTCCAACACACAGTATCCAACAAGAAACTGCCAGAAGAAAAGTTTCTATGTTGGTCTCATATACAGGTCACTATAATATAAGAAAGGAATGTTTTTCATTTGCTAGCTAATACCTGCTATTTTAAATCCTTATTAAATGTAACGGTTGCACTTAGAGAGTTCAGGCAGGCCATCAGGTTTCAGAAAAATGATGCCTCAGATGAAGCAACACCCTATAACTCTAATAATATGCTTTATGTTTTGTTCCACCACTGCACCAGAAATGTTGTAATGTCCTTCTGATTTTTTCTTTTCCTTTTAATTTTTTGGCAGTAACCATTGACTACTGTTATGAACACAGGGAGAAATAAAAACCAGCAACATTTTCATTAAGACTTCTTCCCAGCAGCAGCAAGTTGAAACTATACTCTCCATGAAATGATGACAAGGTCATGTACAGGGAAGTGTTCTGTCACTAAGTTCTCTTGTTTTACAGGCAACTAATTTGCCATGCTACCAAAACAGAGTCAAGATGTTTCATACTTATACCACATATTCACACTATACCTCTGTGTGTTAACTGAAGCTACATTCCAGAGTAGCCACACATCTGAAAATATATTCTCTTTGAGAAGAAGTAAGAGCTAACTCTAAGGGGAAAAATAGGTCTACATGTTAACATGAAGGGAAATTCTAGGTAAATCTTATTTCCTTTAGTACACCACATATTTCAGAAAAAATATTAAATTTCTCTGATACAAAATTTGGTTATAAACTTGAAAGGATTGATAGAACAATAATTTATAATCAATGTTAATAGATTTCATTATGTTTGGCTTTTAAAGTAAATTCATAAAGCATGTTACATGTTCATTTCCCCAAACTTAAAATATTCACTAGAAATGAAATCTGTTTGAGGATTACACAATCTGTCTAAATCTGATTATATAAGGAAAATTATTTTAAATAAACAATTTTAAGAAATTGAAAGAGCAAGAATGTTAAACTAGAATATGAGAATGTTTCCCAGTCAAAGACTCCTGACATACAAGTACTCAGCTGAATATCTAACTACATAACATCAGATCTTTTATGAAATTTTAATTTAATAATTTTTACTATTTCTGGAAATACTAATGGTTTTTGGTAAAATTAAATCAGTTTGCTTGTATTTTGTTTGATCACATGAAAATATAAAGCCTCCTTTCTGGCAGTGAACGTGTACCTCTGAGTGAAATGTCTTTGGTTCCTTTTTTTTTTTTTTCTTTTTTTTTTTTTTTTTTTCCTCCAATAATGACTAGCTTATGACCAAAGAATTTGTCATCGGTTCTTTTTTTTGAAATTTACCCTTAAATGAATGCATTATCTTATACATTTAATCATGTAAAAAGCCAGTTTGTTCTACTTGCAAGACTTACACTTACAAGAAACACTCAGTACAAACTGAAAATAATAAGTAACATTTTGTCACTGAAAACCTCTCTATTACCTCCAACAAGGTTATATTTGAAAATGGGATTTTAAAATTGGCACTTGACAATGCTCACTTAGCTTCCAAAAATAACTTCTAAAACCAAGAGAACAGATTATCATCCTTTTACCTGTATAGTATGCAAGTAATTGCTTCATGGAGAACATTTCTTCCCATTCAAATTTTATAACCTCTCCTTCAAAAATGAAACTTTTGCTGAGAAAAATGAGTGAATGAAACAAAGAAAAGTGACTGATTTTTTTCTAACTCAAATTAGACAGCATTTTTCTGTTCTGTGGTTATGTACAGAGCAATAAGCTAAAGACTAGTTTTCTTACTTTCTATTTATTCGTGGACATAGGGACATAACCCAGAGTCAACAGTGTTAGCTGCAAATAACTGTATGCAGTCAGGGTTCCAACTACTTGATTTTTACATATTTTTTACATTTTCAAATATTCCTAATTCGGTTTCATTAGTGCCTTGAAAATAATCAAGCCAGCAGTGAATTATTTGCCTTTCAACTGTGTAGGAATGATTAACGATTGGAAACACCTTGAAAGTACCACTGTTTAAGGCATCTGTAGACACAGAGAAAAACATGCTTTTCAACCAAGTCTTCCATTGTTTTCTCAGTCAAAAGAGCAGCTAACATGTTGTTGGCAATACATG